ACTAAGAAAGGGGCAAAGAGATGAACTCTGAACCAGGAAGTGCTCCTTATTTCACCTCAGCAGATCTTTATGTCAGACACTCTAATATCCACACAGGCCGGAGGTCACTAACTGTGTTTACGACTGAACTCATGGTGCAAAATGTCTTTAACCACAGCATTAACTGTGACCCATTAGAACCACTGTGAAATACATAACTGTTAATTCACAGTGTGGTGGGTAAACTGAGTGATTTACAACACATTTAAACACACTGTCTCACGGCATGCTGGGAAACTCCACCCGTTTAGCTCCAACACACCAACACAAATGGTTGACTTAACATTAAAAACTATGTAAAGCTCACAAGGAATGATTTTTTATTTTTACGTGATTTTGATAATCCGGCACAATTTTGACTGGAAACCAAAGGAAAGAGCTCGCCTCGAGGTAATGATCAAAGATACAGAATAACATAGAGACTATATAACATTTTTCAACTCATTGCAGTGAGTTGTTTTTATATATTTATATTCATGTGTTTATGATCTACATGTAGAAAAATAAACATTTTTCTCTTTTCTCTTTTTTTAGAGTCTTAATATTTGGGCTCATTGCTGCTGGACGCTCAACAGAGGAGAGTGTGTGTGTGTGTGTGTGTGTGTGTGTGTGTTAGGCAAACATGAACTGAACTACAATAATTCTTTGTCATGAGAAGCTTTGAAAACTCACATCTGTCAAATATAGATTTGTCTTATTTTCCTTGGTTAATGCATGTGGAGACATCCTCATAATGTAATTTAATGTGGCAGTGGACACATTTTCAATTAGCCAGCTAACACTGTCTGCTTATTAACTTCCTGACAATAAAAGAATAAAGAAACTTCCCAGCAAGCATTTTTTGGTTTAAAAAACATCTAATAGCCGTCTACATGAAGACCTGATGTCTAGGCTAAATCACGGCTGAATTTGGGCTGTCAGTGAAAATTTGGTAGACGTCTAACCATAGCCAAAGTGTAGACGTCATCAATTATACGGCTATGTAGAGATCATGTCCAAAAAATGGAGATAAACATATTTAAATTACTGTTGACTCTCCATACGTGATTGAATATCATACCGTACACCATCTGCAATGGCGAAAATTACATTTAATCAATTTCAAAATTAAACTGGCTAGATTTGGGTTACATGTAGCTAGACTAAATTGGAGCTAAATATAGCCAATACGTTTAAATCACGACTATTGCTTGCTGGGTTTCATCACGGCTCAGTTTAGAAAGGCCACCATAGGAAAACATGTTCTTTGTTTAGATCATCAAACAGCCAGTGGATCATCGATGTTTGTGTCTGGTGCAGATAAACTGTTAGAGTACACACCCTTCTTAGTGACCAGTGGGGTTTGACAAGGTGGATTAGTGTCACCTGTTCTCTTCGGTCTGTGTATGGAGGATTTTTCTAAAATCATAAAGGAGTGTAAGACTGGATGTATGGTGGGGGATACTGTTATTAACCATCTGAGGTACGCTGAGGACTTTGTCAGCCTGTCTCCTTTCAACACTGGCTCACAGCAGCCACTCAGTCTGCTCATGTTACGGTGTGTAGGATGATGTTAGGTGTTATCATGACTGTTAAAACTAAACAGGATCAGAAGCAAAGTTTCCTTAATTCTCTCTGTCAGATCAGGGGCTGGATGTGGTGAACAAAGTACGACATTTGGGTGACATCATCAGGAATGATCTCTGTGATGATGATGATGATGATGATGATGCACAGCAGCGTCAGTGTGCTGACACGTACATTTCATACAGATAATGTTAAAACAACCCTCTTTAAAGTCTGCTGTACTCGAAAATGAGAAAGCTTCAGGAGGTATAGAGTGTGCCAGGGCTGACGTCAAAACCCGGAAGTTTAGCATCGCGCTGGTTCCCGGAAGAGAAAGTGAATGTGATTTTTGCATTGCATTTTGGATTATGTCAGAAAATAGGCTCTGTGGCTAACACAAGTTTATGATACTTACAGGTTTTGTTCAGCGAGATAATCTTCACATATGAACACCTTTCATACCGCATTTGAAGCTGAAATGCAATCCCCAGAAGTAAAAAGCTAACGTTAGGCTTTAACGGACTACATGACTACTCCACGGTCACATGACTCTTGACGTCACCGCCACTAAGCTTACAACTGATATCAGCTGCTTTATTTAAAAATATTGTATGGGTTGTCGGTAGCATAGTGGATAGTGCCGGCGCCCCATGTACAGAGGCATCGCCTCGCTGCAGCAGCCGTGGGTTCAAATCCGGCTTGCGGCCCCATATTGAGCAACTTGTTAGCAACCGCCTTTTTAACGACACCTAAAAGCTTCAAAATTCACAAGTAGGGTATTTACTGACGTGTTTTATGTCGTAGAACAAAACCTGAAACTTGCTTAAGCTTTTGTTAACCACAGACCTTATTTGAGGCATTTTACCAAAATCCCATTCAAAAAATGTACTGACTTTTAGATGAGAGAACCGGAAGTGCTAAAAGCGCTAACGGAGTTCCGGGTTTACTGGCACACTCTATTTAATGTGTTCACAACAAGCTCAGGGTCCCAACACGAACAAGTGCAGGTCGCATGTTTGTGACGAGCAGTGTCCCCACCTTCACTGCTGTGCTGAGGAATTTACGTACAAATTTACGTGTCGATTAATTGATCAAGAAATTACAGTTACTCAAGATGATCCACAGACCTTGTTGTGAGCAGTTTCATGTAGGAACTATTTTCTTTCTACTGAACTACACCCATCGACCACTAACTACTTTAAGTAGTTCATTTTAGTTCAGTACTGTTGGCACCACTGAGCTAGCTAACGTTACCGCTCAGCTGAGGAGGACACCACAACTGTTTACATCTCACACTGTTGTGAGCACAAACCTCTCGTCCATGAGTAGATGCACGTTTCCTTCTGCTTGGTGTTACAGTTGGCAGGTGGAGTTCTGTAGGTTTCTGTTTTTCACTGTTTTATCACTACTACAAATGCAGCTGTAGCCAGTATCTCACTATCACTATCCTCATCTATTTTTTAAGAAGCTACAAATTATATAAAAAAATATAGAACGGAGCGCTGCAGGTAGTCGCCTGTTTCAACTCATCACGAATCTTTGGTCTGAACTGAGCTTTAGACAGTTAATGGGAGACTGATTTTGTGATTCACAGAATGTTTGTTTTCTGTTTTACACCCAAATGAGTTTTATTCCATTGCAGTGATCTCAGTACACGTATACTCAGAGCACTCCCCTCGGTGCTCTCAGCAGCCCCGTTTTCACTGCCCGTTGAAGGTGGGAATATCACACTGTTATGCCACCTCACTGTGCTGTATATAAGGTGCGCTTGCAGAATGGGGGGGCAGAGTGGTCTCACCTTTCAGCCGCCACAGGAGGTAGCAACAGCTCTGACACTGTGTCTGTATAAACAGGGTAGCCAGCAGCAGGGTTATGTGTGCCACCAAAAGATTTAAGAAGTAGCTGGCGGCTAAGATCTGCCGCCATGTAACAGGGATTGTTACTGTTACTGTTAAGCTCAGATTTCGTTATGTCTTGTTTTTGTCACAGTAGCGTTCATAGCTCATGACGTGTCGTGAAATGTGAAAATCCAACAATAATCTCCGGCAGAAATACTAACACTGTCTGCTTATTCCTTTGACATCAGAAGTTTGTTTTGGCTCTCTAGACAGTGGATTTGGGAGAAAGCTGTTCATGTCTACTAATATTTTTGCACTGTATTAGACGACAAGAATAAAGCAGGATTTATAGTTGTGTGGCAGACCCTACGCCGTTGTGAGAATTTCTACTTGTGCGGTGGTGTGTCTGTGTCACTCTGCAGTTACACCTCCAAAACACTAGTGGGCGGCAGGGTTTCTGTGAAGTGCTGTAAAGTTTAGTTGATTCAAAACACACATTAAACACACATTAAACACACATTAAACATGGCTTAATAGAGACAGTTTCAAACACAAATCAGCTTCACTATAACTCGCAGCATTCACAGACAAACACTTGTCTTTATCTTGACACATTTTCCTCACAAATACAACATTCTAATGTTATTAGCACAAGCCTATGGCATTTTACATTGTATAAATTAGCCTAGCAGCTAGCAGACTTTTCCTCTTCTCATATGAAGCCAGGGACAACAGCAACATTTAACAAAGGTAACGTTACAAAATTCAGCTCCATTACAGCTCACAAGGTTCACTGACAAAACAACTGTCTTATACTAAACACGTTTTCCAAACAAATACAACATGCTAATGTTATTAGCACAAGCCTATGGCATTTTACATTGTATAAATTAGCCTAGCAGCTAGCAGACTTTTCCTCTGCTCATATGAAGCCAGGATAAATCACACACACATCTTAAAATGCTATTTTTGTGGATTCTTTTTTGTCTTCACAATTTATTGTTTCTTATCTGTGAAATTAAAGTAAATCAAAGCTTTGTTTCCACTGAGGGAAATGGTTTCAGCTTACAGAGACAGACAGGAGGTCTGCGTTGCCGCAAAGTGTAGTTACATTTCTGGGGAGGTGCATGTCAGGCTACAGCGTAGGGTACAGTGTAGGCTCCATGTTGACACTGAGCCTACATCGTAGCTACAGCGTCAACTATTCAAAATGATAAATTCCACAGAGGAGGTATAAATTTTGAAAAAGGACGTAGTTCTCCTTTAAATTGCTGCTCTTAGTAGTCATATTCATGTATGTATTGCAGATACTCCTTAAAGAATCAAATATGTCCACTATCAGTTAAATAAATAAAAGAATTTAATAAATAAGATCTCACTTCTGACTGTATGTATTTAGAGATATGTTGACATATTGCAGTCTGACTGTAACTGCACATATATTGATATATTTTACATATTTGTTACCCTGTAATTATTTGCATTATTAATGCATTTATAAGAGAGTAAAACAGAGTTAATGAAGAGACACATTTCACATTGACCCGACTCACCAGTGTCGTCACACAGCACGAGATCTCGTCCCTCTCGGCGGAGCTCTTCTCGCCGCACCACCAACTTGTCACCAAAGATGGCGATTTGCTGAGTGCTCATGGATACACACATTTTTCGGCTTGTCGTTATCTCACCAGAAACGCCAACTTTAGAAACACGTTAACTGCTCAGCGAGCGACTCTTTCTCCGTGTGAAGCACATCTGACTCAGCGTCAGCCGCCGCCGCCATGCAGATCACTCTGAAAACACTGCAACAGCAGACGATTCAGATTGAGATAGACCCCGAACAAACGGTGAGTGGCTATTAGCTAACCTGCTAACTTTAGCTAACACTGCCAGCTGCCGCAACTATGTCTAAACTTTACGTGGGGACCCAGCAGTTTTATCTGACATATCCAACGAGAGGACGTTTAACGTATCCTCAGCTGAAGGTTACCCGTTAACAGCACGTGTTAGGAGTTTGTCAAACCCTCATGAAACGGCTGCTAAACAACGCGAAAGCTGACTAGCAAACGTTAGCCAGTTAGCTAGCTGAGGCGTCCGTTAACAAAGTCATCGCGACGCGACTGTTAACGGATTTCTGACCGTTACAAGTTCGTGTCGCGGTTACTTTGCTGCTGCTGCTCTCCGTTAACGCCTGATGTGATTCACTGTGTGAGGCTGTAACTTCTGGGACCAGCCCGAGCTTCCCACTACGCTATGATATCAAATGCTAATGCTAATGCTTATGACACTGCTAATTAGCCTCATTGGTAGCATACAGAGGGGCTGGCTAAGTTTGTTAGCATGTTCACATCTTTGGTATGTAGCTAGCAAGGCCAACGTTAAGTCAACATTAGATTGTGTTATCGACACAGGACTAACTTTACCAACACTGGATATCATTCAGATAGTTTATACTTATATCTTATTAACAGTTAGCAGTGTCAGGCTGTGTGTGAGACACTGGACCTGAATAAAAACACTTCATATTTTAACTTTACTAACTTCTGCAAGTCAGCTCCGATGCTTCCCTCCCTGCTGGTGACAGTGTCACTGCTCCATGTACACTGGTTTATACTGTAAAGGTGCTTTGCACAGTGTGGAAATAGATCCGTGTCAGTGTTATTTGTGTTAACAGACAGATAATCCGTGTGTAAATGTGTAATCTGTAAATATAAAACACTTACAAATACAGTGAAAGACTCTCAGAACTGTTCTTCAAATCTAAAACATAAAGTGTGTCTCAGTATTATCTGTGTGAGGGGATAGTTTGTGTGCTAATGTGTAACCTGTAAATATAAAACACTTTCCATATATATTAAAAAAGGTTTGTAAGGGACTGTCCTTAACTCGTCAGAGGAGGGTGGTGGCTGGGGTGTGACTTCTTTTTTGTTTTTATGTTTATTTATTCTATTTATTTATTTTACCCTCCCTGAAGCTACAAATATTTTTCCTTGAGCCTCCCTGAGAGGCAGGTGGAAAATGCATGACCCTCCCTCCACCATACATTAGTTATTAGATTTTTATAGCTTACCCTTTGGTGTTTGGACGTTAAAGTTGCAGACAAAATCCCATAGTCTTAGGACTGTTGGAAATTTGAAAATCCAATGGTAATTTCTGTTTCCCCTCCTCTGAACCAAAATAAAAAACACAAGCCCATCCTCAATGCTCCAAAAATTATTTGAAATGCCGGCCTACGGGACTGTTCTTTAGTTATTAGAGGATGGGGGTTTGTTTGTCTGTTTTTATCCTCCCTGAAGCTACAGATATTTTTCCTTGAGCCTCCCTGAGAGACAGGTGGAAAATACATGACCCTCCATCCACCATGAAGTAGTTAATAGAGTTTTGAAACTCACCCTCTGATGGTTGAAAAGTAAAAGTGTAAAGTTGAAGATGAAATCCTGGAGTTGAAAAATGTGTACAGTTCAGTTTTGGCCCACGTTTTAATTGAGACGTTGAATTAAGTGATTTTGATGAAATGTCATTATTTTAAATTCAGATTTTGTGATACGGCATGTTTTCTGTCAAATCTACAGTGAAACAAATACAAAAAACAACCGTTGTAATGTGTATGCCCCCTCCCTTAGACCAAAATAAAAAACATAAGCCAGTGCTTAAAGAATTATTCGACATGCCTCTCCCTTCTTGCACCACCTCCTCCCCTTTCATAAATAACAAACTTGTAAACTCAAGAAAATATTTTGCAAATATAAAACAGATCTGCGAATACACAAATTAAAAAGCAGGCGTAGAATTGAGGTACACAATTAAAAACTGGATTCACAACTATCTGTTCTAAAGCTGTAAATGTCAGGATGATGTTCACAAATGCTCTTCGTTTATTTGAAAATTAAATGTATTTACAGGTATTTTTATTTGTGTTTCTGCTGATCTGTTTTATATTTGCAAAATATTTTTGTGACTTGACGTCTATTTTGTATTTGTGGAAGTCTATCTCCGTAGTAGAGTATCGGGGTCTGTAATATACACCCACGGATCAAAGAGGTGAACGAAAATCTTCAGTCTCACACAGAGTTCAGATATTAATGCGTAGAAATTAAAGCATTAGGAGATAAGTGTTTTCATGTTGATGGTTATTCATGATTAACATCTTGTTTATCAGGTGAAGGCCTTGAAAGAGAAGATAGAAGCAGAAAGAGGAAAAGACTACTTTCCTGTATCCGGGCAGAAGCTGATATACGCCGGGAAAATCCTGCAAGATGACACACCAATTAAAGAATACAACATCGATGAGAAGAACTTTGTTGTAGTGATGGTTTCCAAGGTGAGATGATGTTGGGGTTTATAGTGCGGTGATGTTTTAACTTCTCAGAGCTGATCTACTTTCAGCATTTACACTGTCGTACTTTGTGTTGGCTGATTTTAATGTCAGACATTTTCACTGTTAGAGGGGAACTACGACCATTCTCAAAATCCATACCTGTTACTCCTGTAGACTAAGAAAGTCCAACAATATTAGTAGACATAAACGACTGTCTTCCAAGTCCAAAATCTAGAGAGCTAAAACTTAAACTTCTGATGACATAGGGTCTAAAGTTTGGAGCTGCTCCATTGACCGTGACTTGGGAAATATGTTCTAGATGACACCTGCCCTTTTTACACAGAGATGGCGCTATAGAGCTGCTAAGAAGTCCCGTCATTATGCTCCCTTTGCATTGTTGCACATGACATGTTGGACATGACATGTATCACAACAGCGTCGGCTTTCAGTGTGACATAAAACATACCTGACGATAGCTCTTTCTAAACAATAACAATCATTTACCGTCCCTGTTACATGGCGGCTGATCTTGTTTTCAGCTCGGAGGGTACGGAGATCCTGGACCTAATAGTTTTCCCAATTTTTGGATATTTCTGGCCATTGTTTTTCTTTGAGTTAGCATACAGCTACTTTTTAAATCTCCTGTGGTGGGTTGCACACATGTCGTCAAAAACGTCACACCCGTCCTGCCCCTGGTTTTGTCCTTTTTATGCAGACAACATTTCAGAGCTGTTGCTACCTCCCGTGGCAGTGTAAAGATGACCCCCCATTCCAAGATCACTTCAATAGAATAAACATTCGTTGGCCTCCCATGGAGTGTCTATGGAGCAGCTCCAGACGTCATACCCTATGTTTGAGACTCACTCTTCTGGTTTCTGACAGAGAGCAGCTCATGTTCACTGATACTCACTGAACTCTCAGAGTTCGTGGAAATAACATACTGGACTTCCCCTTAAAGTTGCCCGTCTAACAGCACCTTCTTTTGAACCGGCTAAAGGCTAAACCCGCAGCTGCCGCCTCGCCTCCGGCCTCAGAAGCACCCAAACCCCCCGTACAGGACTCTGGCTCCACGTCAACAGCTGTCCCCGCCACAGCCCCAGCTTCAGCCCCAGCCCCGACCCCCGCAGCTGTCCCCATTCCCTCTGAGGAGGCCAAAGAGGAGCCAAGTGCCGCAGCCACAGAACCACAACAACCAGCCAGGTACGACCCGTCTAACATACAACATATAATGGTATTAAAACTATTTTAGACATACTGGAGAGAGCTGGGGATCTGTGTCTTTCTATGCTGTTAATTAATGTTAAATTATTGACTTGGCAAACTACTGAATTAAAGTGTTGACTGTTATTTGATGAATGTGAATTGATACCCAGTGAGGATGAAGATGGATTGTTGGAGTGTGACTTTTGTTTAGTCATTAACCTAACTGGGTTATTACATTTCAAAAACATAATTATATGTTTGAAATTATTTATAAAAAAATATTATTATTAGGGAACTTTAAATATTCTATTTAATTTAGCTGTTCTCACTAAATGGCCCAGTTTTCCTGAAGTTCTTAAAAATTGACTTGCATGTCAAATACTGATAAAATATTTGTCAGTGTCACAGCTTGACCCTTCATTTCCTAAAACTTCGTATTTCTTTGACATGATGGGACACAATAGTCAAATATGTCTGATATCATTTCTGTAGGTGTGTAATGGTTCGTGTTTTCATCTTGAACCGTACGTAAAAGGATGTTTGGTTTGGTTCGTTGTGTGACGTACATTTGGTACGCCCTGTGACCCAAACAGAAATTCTGAAGCGGAGTTTTCCCCATAAACTTTTGGCAGCACACTCGTTGCTTTTCATGCTAGTTGGTTTAGCCCGATTAGCACACTCCAAACATCTCATCTCAGCTGGCATCACCGGAACAGCAGAACAGGACAAAAACACATGAAGGCGTTCAGGCAGCTTCCTGCTGCACATTCGGACCGTACCAAAGTCATAACAATGCCATGGAGTGTCATTGCTGAGGATATGCTGCCAAACTTGCAGCTGTTTCAAAGCACTGTTGCAGAATTTTTGCACACAATCTTCTACATGTCAGTGTCACGGTGTGTCTTAGCCGGTCTTTGTATTCATATAGTTGCCGTTTTTATGGTTCATTTCCAGTATTTATTAACATACTTTTTGGCTTTTCCTTGTAGTAATCTTATTTTGTGTTTTTATATTGCTTGTTTTAGATCTTTGCAAAGAACTGTCTGTAACTTATGTTTCTGCCTGTCTCGGCCAGGACACTCTTGAAAAAGATTTTTAATCTCGAGGTTTTTCTGTTTAAATAGATAAAAATAAAAAATGTTGCGCATGTCGTAGAGAACACTGAATTAAAGCATGTGGTCAAAGTGCTTGAGTGCCCGTACAGTGTGCTGTCACGTGTGAATTTTATTCAGTTCGTTGTGCCTGATTTGTAAAGGAGCGCAAGCTGCAGTTCAGGAATTATCAACATGATGGAGAATTACATCACTGACATTTGTGTTACTATTTTTAAGTGCCGTAACTATTACAGTAAGAGTTATAGCTAATAGAAATGTACATTTTTCAAAATAAGTAAAAATAAAATGTATATTTTCTGCATTTTTTTCCCCTGCTGTACCAAAACGTACCAAACCATGACCCCAAAAGTGAGGTACAGACTGAACTGTGAATTTGTGTACTGATACACCTCCATACACCTGCCAGTCCTGTATCATTTTTATATGATTTGTAGCACAAAAGGAAGAGTACAGTTCTCACAGTGTTGTAGAAACACATCTTGAGCTGGACCTGAGATAATGGACTGGCTCCTCCACCCAAAAAGAAAAACAAGAAGTTGACCTATATGCTAAATGCATGGGTTGTGAGGATTCAAGACAGTTCTGACATCCATTTTCTTAAACATCTAAGACAAGTTTTTCGTGTCGCCAGAGAAAGTATAATGTGACATATTATTGATTGAGTTGTCAGTTGTTGTTCTCGTCACTTTAGAATCACAGTAATGTTGTGTCGTCTGATTTCTTCTTCTCACCTCTGTGTTCTGCAGCTCCAGTGGCGGGGGTCAGGGTCTGGATGCCTCCTCAGCGCTCGGTACGTAACCAATGAATCCCAGCCACACTCACATGCTGTGCAGTCGTTGGTATTTCCCCCTGTGGTTAAACACAGATTGTTCACTTACAGACAGTTCACAGTGTAATGAAAGGGTTAATACCACAGCAGCACATGTGTTGTGTAAAACTGGGGTTATTGTATTTGCTGTGCCAGAAATTGTTGCTGCTGTGAGTCAGGGACTTTACAGGCTGCGCTGCAATACATACTGTTTCTATATTTAGGCTGCGACAACAGTACGCCATCCCTCATTGTGGTGCCACACAGAGCCAAGGGGATTCCTGCTCTGTCCACTCATAGGTTATCGCCACACTTAGAGAGACATTAACAGGAGTCCTGCTGTGTTGAGATCATTAATGTGTGTCATTTCAGTGATTATTTGTTATATTTGTTATTGTCTGACCTTTAAATAGAACGAGTCATTCCTCAGTGGTGATTCAGACTCAGTAACTGTGTTTCTAAAGTTATATAAACCCTGAAAATAACTGCGGAAATGACAAATAATGAGGATTATCATCGGTGCTGGTCGAGTACCACAGAGGAGAATTACGCGCCTACTGCAAAGCGAGTCTGCGAGTACGTGGTGGCACATTACTGAAGTAGATCAGCGCAGTGGCGAGAAGTGGCGCTCCTCACATGAGGGATGAGGAGAGTTTGCACCCCCGCTGTAAGGTTCAAAATGTTCCAAACTATTTTTAAACAGGAGGAATAATTAGAAAAGCAGTTTCCTGTTTGTGTTCCTGTTGATCGTCAGGCATGAAGGTGTTACTTTGCAAAGTCACATTTAAGATACGCAGAGTTAGTAACTTTGTCGTGTGTGTTGTGTTTTCAGTGACTGGAGCCGAGTACGAGGCCATGCTCACAGAGATCATGTCCATGGGCTACGAAAGGGAGCGAGTGGTGGCGGCACTACGGGCCAGTTTCAACAACCCCCACAGAGCTGTGGAGTACCTCCTCACTGTGAGTCACAGAAAGCTGCGTCACATCCACATGTGTCCATATATTTCACACATTTTGCTTTTATTGAAACTCCAGAAGAAAAAAAGAAACTGTTGTCTAAACTTCTGCTCCCCACCCTGGCTGGTTTAGGATATCCTGTGATGTCTAAGTCTTTAAAGAGGGACAAGAGAAGGAAACAAACAAGCAAACAAACAAACAAACAAAACACATACAGGGATAAGTAAGATGAGAAAGTGAATAACTACCCAGGTCCTGCGTGTGTCTTTGTCCGTTCTGTGTTCCCTCTCTAATTGGGAGGTTTTTGTAGGTCTGTGAACGTCTGATGTTTGAATGGTGACGAGCTGACACAAATAAATGAATATGTGGGAAACCCTAGTAACTAATCTGCCCTGTTTGGTTCGGTTCAATCATGCTCAAGGTCATTTGCCCCCTCAGTGTGGTTCGATTGGGCAGGTGTGAACACACGGTGGTCTCAGTCCGGTTCCAAAGGAACTCTGGTGCGGTTGGTTTGTGGTGAGAAGGTGTTCCGACCTGGATGTGAAGCAACTGCAGTCACATGACACATTGTTTGGGTTAAACATGAGCATGTTACAGTCCTGGAGGATTATTAATGTGCACCTCCTCCTGTACTGCCTTAATATGCACATTCAGCACATCCAATGCATCAAAACATTGTTTTCTAGTTGGAGCCGCGCCTCGTTTTCAAACTGTATGTTTTGACTAAAATGAACAATGACAGCAATATAGTCCACGATGAGCAGCGCTAAAATCAACCTGCGTAGTTGTCCCTCCATTGTGACATTAGAAAGTGTCACATTTATCTTGCAAGTGTACTCTTCTTCAACGTTTGCTTTACTTCCTGGATTTTTCCCACATGGAAATTCTGACCAATCAAGAGCAGCTTTCTCACACAAGGCATTTGATCTGGTCCTCTTGTAAATGCTGCCGTGAGAACACGAACCAACTTTAGTCAATTATACAACTTTGGAACAACATGAGTCCCTGATTCAGACCAGTGGAGACCACTTTAGGGCTGACAGCAGCTTCACGAGGGGCGGGACTTTGGATCAGTCAGATCACAGCTGTGAGGAATGTACAGCAAATCCTTACAGGTGATCATGATGTCGAGATTTGGGTTTTAAATTCACGATTACTGACTTTCCTGCACTGAGACAAAATCTTTAGAGGTTCAAATTAAGTGGTTAGTCACCGACTAACATGAACCAAATGATCATTAGCTGACCTCCACGGCCCGACACTGTTCTGATCTGTGTGTTTTGCAGTGAGCAGGAAGTGTGTGTGATTGACGGCTGTATTGTTGTGTTTGCAGGGTATCCCCAGCAGCCCGGTGCAGGAGAGTAATCCCCCGGCGCAGGCCCCCGCGTCCGGACCCACAGAAGCCCCATCTCTAGCAGAGGGTGAGGCACGCAACTTGCTTTGGTCCAAAAATACACGCAGTCAGTATTTATGTGTTGGTCTCTGCCTGCTGGGTAAAAAATAAAAACCAGGACTGGAGCGGTGTCGATCACAGCGGATTATTAAACTGCCTCCTTCATCTTAAACAGTATCAGACTCAACTAGTATCCATGCATCAGATCATTTAGTCATTTACATATTAACTATATTAATAATTGTCACAGTCTCACCGGCAGGCGATGACTCATCATATGACTCATCAGTCACAGGATGTTTCTCTTATCTGTAAATTGAACCTTTGTTTCTTCGCACTGCGGAGACGTGTTGTTGCTCTCTGAGTGGATGGAGACAGTTTAGCTGCAGTGATTAGTCAATCAAAAGAGAATAATCATTAATGTTTTGATATCTATTCATCATTGATGTTATTTTGTAAAGAAAGATGTCAAACATTTGATGGTTCCAGGCTCTAAAATTTAAGAATTTGCATCTTTTCTTTTTTATTGTGAATTTAATATTGAATATATACAAGGAGACATTTAATGATTTATGTAGATGTTTTTTCTTTCTCTGATGTTTTATAGACCAAACCATTAATCAAGAAAATAATAAGCAGATTAAATTAAAGGGGAGCTTGCTCATTACAATAGAGGAGAAAGCTTTTAAGATCTTGTTTATGATGAGAGACGAGTCACAACCACAAGGATTTAAAGTTGCACATCTGAGCGTCAGTGTCAGCTGATCATCTGATGCATGTTTTTGCTTTTGGGAAGTCTGTTGGTGAGATCATCTCATGTAGTGACACACTGAGGTGTGGTTTGTGGTCTCCGTAGTGTCCCCAGTGCAAGTTTTCCCGTCTCATAAAATAGCGTAATCATCCCTCTGGTGTCGAGCGCAAAGGCTCCGAAATTTGTTGCGACACTTGGTCGTGCGTCTCGGGTATGAAACAATTTAATCTTTAAGGTTATAATTACAGGACGCAAACACAACATTTGGCCGTATGTTAGGTTTTACTGTTGTTGCCAGGAGGGGTGTAAATCACCAGTTTCATCACGGCAGGATTAATATTGATTCTTTGTAGTATTAACAAATTTTGTATTGTTGTCCAAAGTCTGCTGAGATTCAATTTCGATTCAATGTCATTCAGGGGCCTGTGATCGATATGAGATTATATTAAAACTTTTCCCAACAGCCATTTCTTCCTGTATTTTCTCCAAATCCAAAATATTTCCACTCTGCTGATTTATTCCTGAGTAAATAACCTCGTCCTCATTGTCTTTCTCTTTGCTGTTTGTCGTTTAAAGCCTATTCTAAAGATGATGATACGGATCGATGTTTTCACTTTGCATCAGTGATACTGTATCGTTGATCATTGAATCAATATGTCAATCCCGATCACTGGATGGTTACACCTCTAGTTGCCAGGCAGCCTTCTTCTCTGGTGACTCTTTCAGCAACACTCTGATTTCTTGCTTATCCTCAGAATACATTGTTTGCACTCATGTTTTGGAGTGTAATGCAGCGAACAGTGCTTTGAGCATGAACGCCTCTGTGCGTGCTTGTAGCTCGTGCACCATGTACAAAGGCAGGCGCCATGGTGTCTTGCACAGGTATAAACAAAACTTGAGGGTGTACGTCATTTCTGCTGATTGACACATCTGCATTTATACATCCCTGGTCAATTTCTTCCTACTTAATGTATTTCTGTAGCTGACATGGTATTTTTTAGCTATTTTACAACAGTTAATAACTTGATTATTTACTCGTTCAGCTGCCTACTGTTACTGAGGATCGTTAATGTTGTTTCTGATTTGATGACTTTTCTGAAAAGCAGTGAGTGAATGATGATATTTCAGGTAAGTTGAGCTCTGCTGAAACCACAAGGCATGCTGGTATGAACTGCAAACACACATGTAGCTCAGTCTGACCGTGAGTCTTGAGTTCAGCGTGAAATGGCAGAAAATTAGTATTAACAAAATGATGATGAAGACGTGTGGGCACAGCCAGGTATTAATGCATCTCCATTGTCCATCATGTGACTGATTTATGTCCCCCTCTTACTGATGCTCATCGTCTCCAGGAGAGAACCCACTTGCATTCCTGCGGACTCAGCCTCAGTTCCTGCACATGAGACAGGCCATCCAGCAGAACCCTACTCTGCTACCAGCTCTGCTCCAACAACTAGGCAGGGAGAACCCTCAGCTTCTACAGGTAACTGCGTCAGGCAGCCCAAATGTAAACTTTGGGGAAAAAAACATTAGCTTCCAGAAAAGACAGTTTAACCCAACGTGTAAAGGCCTTCTTTAACTGTGACACATTGATAACTGAAACTACATTAACAGAATGAAAACATATACATTCTCTCACAGTCTGTCGTTGCTTTACTTTTTATTATTGCCTGCAGTTGTTTGAAACATTAAAATGTGAGGAAATAAATAATTATATTCATGTAGCCCACCCTACAGAAAGTCACGCTATAAGGTGTAGGGTTAACGGGACTGATTCTAAAATAATCCAGATTATTTCTGAGTTAACTGCTGTTTCGTAATATTTTACATTTAAGTTTATGTAAAATACTTTGTCATTAATACGGACTAAATAATTTTTGTAATCAGAGTACCTCAACTGTGTACTTCACTACAGAAGTGTCTGTAACTGCAAACTGAAAGTACTTTTACCTTCAGACTCAACTCAGCTGAATGACCTCGTACATATGTTACTGTAAACTTGTCGTGTTGTCACATTAAACTTCAGTTTCATATTCATGAAGAGAAACTCAGTCTTGCTGTGATTAGCTTCATTAGCTGTTGTGTGTTCACATTGCTTAAATAAAATGTCAAATATCACTTTTTGTAACCATACAAATATTAGCTCTGTTAGCCAAACACACTTCAGAACTTTGCTGCTAACGGCTAACAGCTAACTAGCTCTCCTCACAGTGATAACAGCATGAAGACATTGGTTTTAGTCGCTCTGTTTATTTTGTCATTTGCTAAGTGACAGTTAAACATACACACAGAGAAGTCCCTTTCGTCTTCAGGGAAGATCTCTGTACCAAACACATTTCTGTCGTCAACACGACGAGGTTAGTCTCAAGCCCTTTGATTTTTGAATTGAAAGGCGCAAATTAATTAGGATTGTATTTGGAACTTTGATGTTGCGCTGGCAGTATGATCATCTTTAAATTAATTTAACCTTTATTTAGAAAGGTAATCTCATCAAGACACTAGGGCTGCCACGATTAGTCGACTAATAGATGGCTAATCGACTACTAAAATAATCGGTGACTATTTTAGTAGTCGACCAATCGGTTTGAATCATTTTTCATAGACAGCTACTATAAAAGTACCCAAAATACTCTTACTGCAGCTTCTTACGTTCAGATATTGGCAGCTTTACACACTCTCCCATGATGGTGAACTAAAACCCTTTGGCGTGAGTATGAAACAAGACATTAGATGACGTAATTTTGGGGTTTGGGCGAGACAGACCGACATTTTTCAACATTTTAACACATTTTTCGATGAAATGATTAGTCGACTAATCGAAGAAATAATCGACAGATTAGTCGACAATGAAAATAATCGTTAGTGGCAGCCCTACAAGACACACAGCCGTATTCTCAAGAGACACTTGAAAAAAGTTAGCGGGTCATTGGGCCGAGGTCAGTGTGGAACCATGAAACTCCTCTCGTTAACGTTAGTCTCTGGGTGATGACGCAAGTAAGTATTCACAGTATACGTCATGTTTGCTTCGCAAATGTCATTATTTAGACGTTAAATTAAAACAAGCTGCAGCCGCTGTCTTTTGTGAAGATGAATTAGTACAAGTTAAGTTAAACTTGTCTGTGCTGCACTGACGCACAGTTTAGTTCAGCCTCTTTTGTTCCATCAACATCATGTTATGAACAAACAATTATTGACATTTGACAAACTGAGCTGCATCTGGGTTTAGTTTTGTTTGTCAGCCTGGTGTCAGATATTAACCCTTACCACTCTCTTCTCCCCCGCAGCAAATCAGTCAGCATCAGGAGCTGTTCATCCAGATGTTGAACGAGCCGGTGGGAGAGGCAGGAGATGTGCCAGAAGTCGGAGAGATGGGAGCAGCCGGGGAGGAGGGCGCACCTGTCAACTATATCCAGGTTACACCTCAGGAGAAGGAAGCAATCGAAAGGGTGAGTAAAGGATGAATATTGGAAATGTTTGTTCTGTTGTTGAATTAGAAATAAAAAGCTCTCACACCTGTCGTCCTTCCTCCTCCTCCTCTTCCTCTTCATCTGTCCCACCAGTTAAAAGCGTTGGGTTTCCCAGAGGCCCTGGTGATCCAGGCCTATTTTGCCTGCGAGAAGAACGAGAACCTGGCGGCCAACTTTCTTCTCAACCAGGGACTGGAAGACGACTGAGCAGCGCTGCCTTCCTGCTCCTCCCTCCTACCCTCCCCCTCTTCAGCTCAGCATAAAGACTGCACCCCCAACTTACTGTACAGCTACCAACCTCAGCTCAACCCGACAGGAGGGGAGGAGAGGGGAGAGCCAGCAGGGGGGGGCGGGGGGTGCGGGTGGGGGTGGGATGGGAAGGGTCGGGTCGACAGGGTGGGTGGTTAGGTTACAGCGGGGCGACACGTTTAAAGTACACAAAGTGGAGGTTGTGTGCAGGAAGGTCAGACTTGGATCATCGGAGGTCGAGGGCGGACGTATGATAAAATCCACGTGAATTCCAATGGAATGTGTGGGGTTTGTCTAGGGGAGATCTATAATTTGATTTTAGACGCGCTTTGTGACATTAGGGAGGGGGAGGGCGGCGGGGCTGAAGGGGTCTGCGACGAGAGCGTGTGCGCTTGTGTCTGCGTGTGTGAGTACATGTCCGTGTGCCTGTGCAGATGGATGCGATACAGTTAAGCTGAAAAAAACAAAACAGTAATCAATTTGCATTCTCTAAGTTTGTTAATGCTGTAGCTGGATTGTATGGAAGCACATTCTCCTCACTGCACTTCAACATTATCAGTGTGTGTAACTGCTTGTATGTACCTCTGTAAGCCTCATGTACGTACGTCCAAGAATGAAATTTGGCAGAGATAGACTGGAGCGTGCTGCCCTTTGTATGTGTCTGACATGATGTTGCTGGGGTCTGTTTGGGGGGAACAATGGGAACTAAACTGACAAATAACAATCTGGTTATTCTGTTGACTTTGTACCGCCCTCGCCTGTCCTTCCATGGCAGCGTCTGCCTGTTAGGTCGCTTAAAAGTGGAACTGTTTTTGGTGCTAATTAACACTAAACATGAAAATCTCCTTCACAAGTTTAACATTAGATTCTCCAACATTCTGATGACGTGTTTTTTAAGATCTTCCACTATTTAAACACAACAACAACAACAGAGGGAGAAACTGGAGCAGACACTATGAGTAGGAGTACAGACTCACTCACTGAAATTTGTCAGTTTTAATTGACCCCTCGCTAAGCCCCGCCCCTTTGTCATAGTCCGTTGGAGTAAACATGGAGCCCTCACTGTCAATAACTGCACTACCTGAAGAAATATAATCATATGTTTGGAGAAATGAAGCAGTGATGTCAGAGAGCAGCAGTCAGAGGGGTCTACAGTCTGTGTTTGAAGGATATATCCAGGATGTCAAACTGACTCAGCAGCAACAACAGGTTAAAAAGACAAAGATAGTTAGAAGCTAAAGCCGAACTATAGGCTACAGATCACAGTGTAAAAGTGAACCACTACATCACTGCTGATCGCCACACAAGACAATGAATATAAAGGGAAACTTTGCTCATATTCAACCAGCTGTGTATACATTCAGTAGGCTATATCTTCAGTAGCTAGCTAGCTAACCCTACACTTTTCAGGGTTTGATTTTGGTTTTGGAACAGGGAAGAAACGTATATCGTAGTCTCATTAATACACGACGTGCCCCAGGCACAACATTTAGCTCCACACCCACAACACCAGCCTGGAAATGAAGGAAATCTGAAACGATGGAGCACAGCACAGATTGGCTAGGCTGTGTTTGGGGGCGGGGCTTAGCGAAGGGTCAATTTACCCAAAGAGGGACCTTTCCTCCAGCTCACTAAATGTTTGTCTTTAGTGTGCCAGGTTGACGACACATTTTACAAGTTAACCCAAACGACAGCGCGCCCACACGCTTCAGTTCTAACGTGTTACATGCAAATGTGTGTGTGCAGATAAATGTGTGTACTGCTTGGTGAGGTGGAAACCATCTGCATGAGGTTTTAACATGTGTGAGTGAGTCACCAGGACCATGCAATGATTTATTCTCTTTTTCTTTACGTCAGTTCTTCAGAGGTGGTCACAGAGAATAAACACCTTTATACAGCGATCATACCATGTACTAACATGTCTAGGATGTCTACAGTTTTTTTTTCTTGCCTTGTAAGATGGCTTCAGACATTCAGAACACTTCAGGGAAAGAACTGGGAACCAGATCCATCGACTTGTAGAGGAAACATACTGTACGTTTATCTTCCCGACCCGGGAACAATTCAATCTGATTGAATCTGAGTTCTAATGAAGCTTAGATTAAATTCTGAATAAAAGAAAATGACACTAAAGGCACTTCCTGTTGTCTAAATCTTCTGGCGCTCTGTGTGCTGCCAGTCGGGAGCAACTTAAAATAAACCTGTACATGCTACAGGCAGGGGGCGGGGCCATAAGATTATCATTTCTGACAGTCAAGTGACTACAAAGAGACGCAAAACAACTTTAATGAGAGCACAGGACTACAAAGAGACAAAATAACTACAGAGCACAGAACAACTTTAATGAGATGCAGAAAGATGACAAAGACACAAAGAGATGCAAAGCGAAATAAAGAGGCCCAGGACAACTACAGAGCGACACAGAACAACCTTAATGAGATGCAAAACAACTACAAAAAGATACAGATCAACTTAAAGAGATGCAAAATGGCTTTGAAGAGAGCATAGAACTACAAGAGGCACAGAGCGACTTCAGACGCAAAATGACTCGAGTTTAAAAATATATAGAGATGCAAAACAACTACAGAGCACATCTACAAAGCTACACAGAACAACTTTAATGAGATGCAACACAACTCCAAAAAGATGCAGACCAACTACAAAGAGGCAGAATGACTACAAAAACAGCACAGAACTACAAAAAAACAGAAATACGTAGACAAAGAATGACTACAATGAGACACAATACAACTACAGAGCTACACAGAACAACTTATATGAGATGCAAAACAACATCACAAAGAGGCAGAATGACTTTGGAGAGAGTGTAAAACAACCACAGGGCACAGAACAGCTACAAAGCTACACAGAACAACTTAAATGAGATGCAAAACAAAGAAGGATGACTACAGAGATGCAAAATGACTTCAAAGAGATGTGAAACAACTTAAAAGAAGCACAGCGACCACAAAGAGACGCAGAACGACTTTAAAGAGACACAAAATGACCCTGAAGAGAGTGTAGCTCAACTTCAGAGACACAGAGCGACTTCAGACGCAGAATGATGAGTGAAGAGATAGGACGCAGAACAACTACAAAGAGACACAAACTGACTTCAAAGCAATGCAAAACAACTTCAAAAAGATGTGAGACAACTCCAAAGACGCAGACTGACTACAAAGAGACGCAGGATGACTTAAAAGACGCAAAATGACTGAAGAGAGCACAGAACAATTGTCATAAGATGCAAAACAACTTCAAAAAGCTGCATAACAACTACAAAGAGACGCAGAATGACTTCAAACAACCAAAATGAATTAGAAAGAGGACGTACAACAACTACAAAGACACAGAGCGACTTCAGACTCAAAATGGCCAGACTTCCTTGATGCATAGACGCAGAACGACTACGAAGCAATGCAAAACAACTTCAGAAAGATGCGCGACAACTACAAAGACGCAGACCGACTACAAAGATACGCAGGATGACTTAAAAGATGCAAAATGACTTTGAAGAGAGCGTAGAACAACCACAGGTAGACACACGATGACTTCAGACGCACAATGACTAGAGTTTAGAAATACATCAAGTACGAATACAAAGAGACGCAAAATGACTTCAAAGAGACGCGACACAACGACAGAGCACAGAACAATTGTTATAAGATGCAAAACAACTACAAAGAGACGCAGAATGACTTCAAACAACCAAAATGAATTAGAAAGAGAGTGTATACCAACTACAAAGACACAGAGCGACTTCAGACTCAAAATGGCCAGAGCTCTTGAATACATAGATGCAGAATGACTACAAAGAGACAAAATGCAAATAAGAAGCACACGGACTACAAAGAGTCGCAGGACAACTTAATGAGATGCAAAATTATCACAAAGATGCAAAACGACATTGCTGCATCATCTGTAGCCATTTTGAGTCTCTTTGAGTCTCTGCTCCTGTGACGGTGGGGAGGAGGCTTCTGCTGCATGTCTGAGTCCAGAGGCCGACTCTTGGTGAAGCAACAAACAGCGGCTTCATATTGACGAAGTTTCATGTAAGAATATTTAAAGTTTTTATTCTGAATTAACAATTAAACTTCTAAAGTACGATTATTGTCCCAGAGCAGACTGTTGATGAGTCCTCACACGTTTTATTCTTTTTACAAACGTGCATTGAAAAGTTTAATGTTTTCTCTTAACGTGAAAACAGACGACAGAAACAGGAGAACACGTATGTACATACAGGCTTCATGATACAGACACACAAACAGCTCACATCTAATCCATCACTGTCACACTGACTGAGCGGACGGGCTGACTGATCAGTATTGATCGCTGTATCAGGTGAGGATGATGATGGTTGGCCTGGTTGTGTGTGAGGTCAGGTGGGGATGTTTACTGTGGGTCCAACAACAAACAATAACTGTAAAAGAAAATCTGAACATGTCTCCTTGTGTGTGACGACACTCTGCACTGTCCTACAGCATCAACATGATCTTAGCGTGTGCTGCGCTACATTAAATATCAGCCACCTGTCAGGCCTTCGACTCTGTTTGTCTCCTCAGTCTGTGATGATGAATGAATGAATGAATGAATGAGGCACAACAGGGGCCTCTAGTGGCAGAATGTGGTCCTGCAGCTCCAGCAGAAGCAGGAGCATCACAGGTGTGACACATTTATTATACCTGCTAGATTTTAGTTTACCTCGACTGTTGGAGGGAAACTGAACAGCTGCTGAGAGCAACGACTCCACACACACTGAATCCATTGATACATACATCAAACTGAACAATTTATAAGGTAATATTTAAAGATCTAAAAGCAAAAATTTACAGGATGTTGTGTGAGATATGTTGAAATGTGTCAGGACACTCCACCACATTTTATACTCATATGACTATTTATACTGTCATAGTGCCCTAATATTTGCACTTACATCATTTCGTCAGAAACATGCCCCTTAAAGAGGTTTTAGACCCCCTGAGACCAAACGGCCCCGAGCTGAGGGTGCTGGTTATCAACTTGTGATGACCCGAGGTATAAACAGGCCAACAGGAAGTAAAGATGATAGAAAGGAAGCAGGAAATGATATTTATATTTATATCTCTGAGTTTGGACGTTCTCCATAAAACACCTTCCTAAATAATAACTAACTAAGAACACATGATTGAAACCACAAAATATCTCCATACTGCTCGTCCGTAGTGATCCAAGTGTCCTGAAGCCCCGACATAAAAAGTTGTTTGGAAAAACGTCATTTGAACTCTGTTTTTAGCCTCATTGTAGCCTGTAGCTCTGACTGCCTCTCTGGGCACCGCGCTCACGTGTGTGCACTTGCGTATGGAGATATTTTGTGGTTTCAATGATGTGTTTTTGGACGTTTGAATCTGGGGCGCCGTCAGCCTCCATTAGTTGGAGTTGTGTTGCTACCTCCTCTCCCCTTGGATCTCTGCAAGTGATGTGATGACTCTAAAACTTCACCTGAGCCTCCCTCGGCATATGGGTGAGTAGATAATGGCTGAATTTACATTTTTTGGTGCACTATCCCTTTAAGGCTTATTTTCTCCTTTCCTTTGAAAGGTTTCCTCAGTGAAGGGTTAGGGTTAGGAACGCACCAAATGTCTGTTACAGGACTGAACAGACAAATGTTTTACTATTAAAAAACATTTACAGTAGGACTCTGGGTTTAAATCAGGCTTGGGCCCAAAACTGCTGCCGTGGTTTAGA